CCATGGAACAGCTGAAGCAAATGCTTAAAATAGAGGGCCATCCAGTTCCCTGCTCCCACCCCACCCTGAGCAGAGGACTGCCTCTGAGTCCTCTTACCATGTGGAAGGGGAGACATCATCACAATGAAAAGACCCAAGAGGAAGGGAGCAGGCAAGAGGCTGGCATCTGTTTAAGCAGCTGTGTATGTAGGGACACAGAGTTCCTGAAGGAGCTTGTTCTGGAACACATTTTTATTGTCCATGTACAATGCTGATAGCTCCATGCTGGGGGCCATGGGACACAAACAGCACCCCTGCTCTCTGCTCCTGAAGAATTAACAGTGTCACTGGAAGACTGCTCGTTCACTTACTGACCCTTGCCAGGCACTGTTTGCAATGCTTTACGACATCCTCAGTCATTTCATTTTCATGACTATCTGATGCAGTGCTATGGTGACAAGGTAGCCACAATAATCATTATACTTGCTTTACAGTTGAGGACCCTGGGGCAGAGAGAGACTAAACAATTTGCCTTGGTCACAGCTGGCAAGGGACAGAGCTGGGGTTTGAATCCAGGAGTCGGTGCCTGAGGCTGGCCTGTCACCCTGACACTAACTGTCCTCAGTGTGGTTGACATAGACTGGGAGTTGGGGAGATGCTGCCTCAGGCCGCTTCCTCCTCCTGGGACTTCATAACTATGAAGTACTAAGATTGTTTGTATACAAAAATAGAAACATAGGCCCTCAAGTTTAAAAGGAACTCAGAGGTTGTGAGTGTGACAACACAGCCATTATCTGGAACTTCACATCCAAACAAGTGCCGCCCTTGTCACCTTTGGTGACGCTGGGTAACTCCAAACATTCTTGGCTTTCCAGTTTTGGAGTGGCTTCCAGAGACAGATTTTAAGCATGACAATAATCAGTCTCCAGAGAGTCACATTTTTTTTTCCCCTACTACCTACAGTGTTACTACCTCACTTTATCCCACAAATTATTTGTCAGACAACTCTGAAGGCCCTTTCATTATTTTGGAAAGTCAGATCTACTGCAAACCATTTACAGATTTGCTACTACTGAGGTTATTTCCAAAAAAAAAAAAAAAAGGGCCAGAGGCTCTAAAAGCTATTTCATGAGAGAAGCTAAAATACAAACCAAAACGAACCAACACCCAAACAAAACCTGATTAGTGGCAGCTTTGTTAGAAAGGCAGGCAGAAGGGGGATCATCTCCTGTTGTGACTGGGGAGGACTTATTTGAATGTCTCAATTATGCACGTTCATTAGAAAAACCAGTTTCACTGCCCTACGGTCATCTTCCATCCATTAGGTTGTACACTCTTGAAGGCAGCTGTCCATTTTGCCCACAGTGTTATACCCAGCACCTCGTACAATATCTGACTCGCAGTACATGCTCAATGAAGGCCTGTGAATGAATGAATGAAGGAAGGCTTGTGAATGAATGGATGAAGCAATGCACCAAGTAATATGGAGGCTAAAGCCAGTGAAGGAGGACTACAGGCAATGTATGCCCAGGGTGTATACTCAGAACTTGGAGATGGCTACCCTCCCAGAAAATGAAAATGAACACATTCAGCCAGATGCAAAAGTATTCACCCTGTAAGCAGGCTTGAAGATGTATTGCTCCTGAAGATGGAGGACCCTCAAAACCATTCAAAGGTATATATACAACCAGAGCTAGGACTAAAAGACCTTATAAGTGAATGAATGGTTCTGTTATTTGGCTCAAGACAGTGTTCTATTAGGATGTGAGTGTGGGGGCATCTATCTGCAGTTTAGAAAAAAGAAAGTTGAAAAGTAGAACTACTTGGTGTGATCTCCAGTGACAGATCCCAGAGACAGGGGCCCCAAGTAGCACACTGCCAGCAGAAGCCGTCCCTGCAGAGTGAAGGAACCCTTGTGACCAGTCCACAATGCTACCAGTGTTAAAATCCCCTGACTCCTGGCCTCTGATTCCACATTTTAGACAACAATGTGCTTTTCCACGAGGTTTCCTGAGAATGCACATTTGGAGATCTGGTTGCTTAGTCTCCAGAGAGCTTGACTTACTACATGAGTTGATTCTCCTGAGCCTGATCAACTCCAGCTACACTGGCAAGATCAGGCTTTTGGAGCTGTGTGGTTCAGCCTTGGATCACAGTGATCCCCAAACTACTGCCATCTTCTCCCTTCAGCACCTATTAAGCTTTCACAGTAATATGAGAGATTATCATGACAGCTGACAACTATCCAATACTTTCTATATGCCAAGTATTACTGTAAGCACTTTCTTGGGGAAGAGGGGTATAAATTGTGATAAAATATACATAGCATAAAATTTACCATTTTAGCCATTTTTAAGTGTGCGATTTAGTGGCATTAAGTTCATTCACAGCATTCTGCAACCATCACTACACTACTAGTCATTTCCAGAAGTTTTTCATCATCCTAATAGAAACTCAGTACCCATTAAACAGTGACTCCCCATTTCTCCTCCCCCAGCTCCTAGCCACCTCTATTCTACGTTGTTCTATGAATTTGCCTATTCTCATTATCTCATATAAGAGGATCATGCAAAATTTGTCCTTTTGTGACTGGCTTCTTTCATTTAGCATAGTATTTCCAAGGTTCATACATGTTATAGCACATGCCAGAATTTCCTTCCTTTTTAAGGCTGAATATTATTCCACTGCATGGATATACCACCTTTTATTTATCCATTCATCTGCTGATGGACATTTAGATTGTTCCAAACTTTTGATCATTGTGAATAATGCTGCTATGGACATTGATGTGCAAGTATCTGCTTGAATCCCTGCTTTTAATTATATCAAACCCTAAAACTAAATATTATTAGTATCTTTATCCTATGGATGAGGCACAGACAAATGAGATAACTTACTCAGGGTCACACAGCTAATAAAAAGCAAAGTCAGGATTTTAACTCAGGGACTCTCGCTCTAAAGTCCACATTCTTTTTTTTCCTCTTCTCTGGAGCCCACATTCTTTGCCACTATGTAGAGCAAAAATGTTACAAGATGATTAGTGAGCAAGAAATAAATGTCCTTGTTACAGGTTGGGAATACTATAGGAGTTTAGAGAAATGAATTACGTGAGCTGAAATTTGGATTAGAGCTGAGTCTTTAAGGGTAGATATGGTGTTGATAGGGAGGGACACACAAGCTAGGGCACAGAGGCCAGGCTGAGAATGATTTATTCAGGAAATTATGTATGTAGGGCAGGCAGATAAAGCAGACTCTGCTGATGGAATTTTAATTTACAAAGGTTATTGAGGTCAGACTGGGAAACCCCAATTCCATAGGTAATGGGGAGCTGTTGAAGGATTTTGAGGTTGATGGTGGGTTGGTAAAGGCATTTAGGAGTGATTCATGTGACAGGAGTGTGCAAGATGGGTTAGACAGGGTAAAGCCTGGAGGCGGAGCCACCCAGAACAGCTGTCTAGATTGGATACCAAGAAGGTGTGGGGAAGGAGAGGGCAGTACAGTGGGAAGGAAGCCCTTGCAGCTGTGGGAGATGCAGGAGGGATGAGCAACAGGGCTTGGGGACTGATTGACGTTGGTGAGAGAGAAGGAGACATCAAGCATCAGGGGTGACTCTGAGGTTTCCAGCCTCAGTGACTGGGATAATTATGAGTAAGTAACTTCTGGTCATATCAAGCTTGAGGTGACAATAGGACATCCAAGAGGAAACATCCAGAAGGCTGTTGGAAATGGAGGTGAAGAACTGGGCAAAAAGTCTGGGCTAGAGAGGGAAAAATTGGAAGAAATCTTATAAAGAAAACAGAGAGCTATTTGGGGAGGTACCCCAAAGCCCCACTCACATTCCAGTGCTTCCTGGCCTCTGTCTGTCAGAGGGTCCCACACCCTCAGCCAGAGAGAAACTGACACTCATGATACCACCCAGTTGGAAGGCTGAGCCCCTCCCTAGCACAGCTTAGGATATAAACATTTTCTTTTCTCTTTAGTTCAAAAGGACAAGGTTACATTTTTCATGCCAAACATTTTATAAGAGCTGTTGGTTAGAGGGCTTTGGGACACAGGAACATAACCAAAAAAAAACACCACCAGAGTAAAAATTTTTTCAGGCAGGAGTGGTCAGTGGATGCTAAAAATAGGGGAGAAGGTTTTGATGAGGAAGAGAATATTTATGTAGTCTCAGAATAGGTCCCCAAAATTACTTACTACAAAAGGATTAATAATCCTCTTATGGTAGATAAACCAGAAAACACCTTAACCAAGTGATCAGAATTATCATCTCATTGTGGGGTTAGAGGCTATCATGTGTCTCCAACTGTGGTGCCCTGAGGACACCATGTATTGATGCAATATTCAGGTCAAAAATACATAACCTGAATCCGATAATGAAGAAAGTCAATTACCCAACAAATCAAATTGGGGGCCATTCTGTAAAATAACTGGCCTTTTAAAAAGGTCATGAAATCATGAAAAACAAACAAACAAACAAAAAGGCTGAGAAATGGTCAAGTTAAAGGAGACTAGGTATGAGAATTAAATGTATTGTGTCATTGTGAATTAGACCCTTTACTAGGAAAAAGAAGTATTTTAAAGAATACTGTTGAGACTACTGATAAAATTAGAATATGGACTATAAATTCAATAAAAGTATTATATCACTATACTCTCCTGAATATAACTAGATGTGGTTAAGGCAGGCAATGTCCTTGTTTGTAGTAAATACACCAAAGAAGTAAGGAGTATAAAGTGTAAAGAGATAAGAGATATGTAGTCCACTGTCCAATGGCTCAGAAAATAAGTGTGCCTGTGTGTATAAAGAGAGAATTATAAAACAAATGTGGCAAAATGTTAAAAGTCGGTGACTCTGGATAAAGTATATGGGTGTGCTCTTTACTATTCTTGCAACTTTTGTGTAAGTAAAATTACTTTAAAATCAAGTTTAAAACGGTCACCACCACCACCTGACCTGACCAGGCTTAAACAATGAGGTAGTTTATTATCTCACATACAGCAAGTCCAGAGCCAGGCCAGGCTGCATTCCACAGTGTCCCAGAATGTAGGTTCTTTCCACGTGTCCATTCTGCCATCTTTAGCACACACCCCATCCTCAGGCTGGTCCCAAGCGCGCTGGCAGCGCCAGGGCTCGCACGTGGACCCCAACTGCGTGAATGAAGGAGAAGGCCGGTTGTCTCCTGCAGCTCTCTTTGGCCTGGACCCTGTTCCCTACATTCTGCTCAAACGCGTTGCTCCTGCAGTTAACTCTCTCCCTTTTGCATCCTCACCTTTCACCATCAGTTTTTTCACCCTTACCGGATCACGCCCATCAGCATAGAGACATTCTGTGTACCTTTTGAGAACGTTGTTTTCGTTCGAAAGTCCTCTCCAGCTACCACTCCAATTCTCTTTAAGGCAAAGGTGTTACCTACATATGACTCCATGTCACACAGACACACGCACACACACACCCCATTGGTCTTTTTAATCCCACCCGGTCAGGACTTGGTCTCCATTATTCCACTGAAACCACAACCTCCAGCAAGCTAGGGCCATAGTCAGTCCCAGCCCTCACTTTATTCAAGCAGTCAGGAGCATTTGACACTGTGGATCATCCCATCCTTAAAACTCCCCCACCACCTGTCTTTCAGGGCACACCCTCTTCATTTCCTTTGGCTCCTCCACCTCTTATCTTCTTGATATTTAAATATCAGGATTACCAGATCTTGGTCTTTTGATTCTCCTAGGTGACTTCCTCCAGACCCATGACTTTAATACCAGTGTACTCAACTGACCTCTAAGTTCATATCTCTTAGTCAACCTCTTCTGGAGCTCCAGACTCATACAGTGAATTGCTTTCTTTCTTTTCAATTTTTATTATGGAAAAGTTCACACCTCTAGAAAAGCACATATAAGTCTCTAGAAAAGCAAAAGTAAAAAGCAAATCCCTAGAACAGAATGATGAACCTCATGGTCCTGTCCTGACTGCCTTCATAATGTCTTGCCTTGATTTCTGAGTATCTCAAAGTTATCTGTGGGCAAATGAAAATGCCTGACACCCTCTGCTATGTGCTCTTTTCTCAGCCTTCTCTCTGTGAGCAGAGGCCCAAACCCTTTGCTGAATGAAGGGTAAGCAAGGCCCACACCATGCAGGCTCTCTGATCCCTGCCCTGTGAAATCCCAGCCTTGAAGCCAGTAGGAGCTGCACAGCCCTCTGCCCACAGAGTGCATGCCCTCGATAGACGGGAGGCTGTGGAGCCCTTACCCCCCAGTGCCGGATCTGGGGACGCTTCGCCCAAGCACTGCAGCTGAGGGCACACTGACAATGTTTGGCAACTGAGTTGAGGTGGGGGCCCCCAGAGACAGGAATCCAACTTCTCGGGGCACCCAGAAGCATGGCAGCTTTGCCTTTCTCAAGTGGCTTAGGGGTGTGTGAGGTCAGCCAGTGGGAGCTGAAGCCAGAGACAAAGAACCTGATGAGAGATGCCCCATGACAAACTGTCTGTGGACATGGGTGAAGCAGCCCTTTGTGAATCCCCAAAAGATCTGAGGATCTTAGGCAGTGCCAATTTCCCAGGGGGGCACGCAAGGGAGTAAAAACCAGAATTCTCGAAGGCTTGTCTTACTTGTATAGGTTGGGCCGAACCCGTTGACGTGGGGACCCGTGGCACAGGGTTAGTGCCAGTCCTGGTATTCATGCATGACAGCCTGTAGGCCTCTGCTGCTTGCTTCTGGCTCAGCAGGCAGCAGCTCAGAGACAGGGCACAGCTCCAGAGCCCAGACACCCTGTTCCTCGGCTGTCGGGCTGGGCACTGACTGTCAGCCTGCAGGGATCCCAGAAGGGGAAATATTAGCTGGTGAGGGAAAGAACCCCGCGTCACCACCTGATACCCCTCTTTCTTCCAAACCACAGCCCAGAACTTCTCAGCCTGATTTCATGGGGCTTTTTCCTCAGCCTTTGACTTTTCACTACCACCTCTCACTTCTGCTCTTTCCCTGTTCTTGACTCAGACACCAGCCACTGTCCACAACTCCCCACTCATCCCAAAGGGAGGTGGTAGCACCTCCTATCCCCAAATCAAAAGTCCTTTTGTAAAACGCATCACGCCGCACGCAGTGTGAGTGTGTGTGTATGACAGACTTTCAGACTCCCCAAAGTCTCCTTGGCATCATCGGTAAGTTGTTCTGAACAAGTTAGAGGTTTATTACTATCTCACTGGACAGACTGACTGTGGTGGAGGCTGACTCACCCAGGTCAGCAGGGTGAGAGGCAGAGCTGTGGCCCTGGGACACCAGCCTCCCCATCCCAGCGTGGGCATCCCGTGCACCTCAGCGTGCCAGGTGGGGAGTGCTGGGCACACACAGACCGCATGTCCCCTTTCCTAGGACAGCCCTACATTTAAGTGGTCATATCATTTTCATGAGCTCAGTACTACTTGTCAGACCACATGTCACAATTTTTCCCTCAGGAGGTGTGGTGATGAAGAGTCTGCTGGGTCCAGGAGTCTGGGACCTGTCCTGGGGCCGTCGAGCCATGAGGCCTGGTTTAGTGAAGAACACTGGACCACCCCTGGCCGACCTCTGCTAGGTGAAGTGCATGATTGCTCCCTGCCCACGCGGAGGCTGTCCTAAAGGTCAGGACTGGGAGTCACCCCAGGTTGTCAGGTTAACCAGAAAGCCAGTCATTCTGACACTGAGGTCATGTTCTGGTGAGCAAGGCCAGAACTAGGTCTTCCACCCTCTTGCCTCTCCCTTCCCTCAGGGGATAGTCTGTCATCAGCCTCACTTCCTGCCAAACTAGAGAGCATGAGGGGAGATGGGTGGCAACAGGAATGCTAAGGCTTTAATGGGGCACAGATGGCACAGCAGGGGGTACCACTGTGAAGCCTCCAAGCACTTGAGGAGCTGCTGAGGGAGAGGGGGACAGGCAGCAGCCCCAGCTGTGGGGAGGCAGGGCCTGTGCAGTCCCCCCCACCCCTCCCAGTCTCCAGCCCCAGGGAAGCTGGCCTCTTGCCCAGTACTTCATTTTATGGGGCTCTTCAGCTCTCTTTCTTGGAGGAGAACCACATTCCTAGGCCTCGGGGATTATTGCCTTAAACACTGCTTCCTGCGTCTCCCGTCCTACCCATAGGTGTCTCCATTTGGTTTTCTCAGGTTCCCCTTTACCAGCTGTGCCACAGATGGTCCCTAGCATGGAAATCACCTCAAGGCTGTAAACATCTTCCTCCCAGGCCTGCAGAATGGGGCCACATTTTTCTCTGTCACATCCTTCTTGTTTCCTTCACCCAATGAGTCGGAGTAGAGGACTTCCATTCTTATTCTTTACACCATTTGAAAAAGTATTTTCTAATTCTATTGGAATTTAAAATTTTGTTTGTGAAATATAGCACCTATTTTCTTCCTCATTTTAGTTTGGAAAAACCCCAGGTCTAGCTGGTGGGAGGTGAGCCCAGATCACTGCTGACCCGCAGGGCTGACCTGGGGGCTGCGTGGAGCACAGCGAGAGGCTCCATGTCCTGGTAGTCCATTCTCTACCTCTTGGTTTTGCCGCTGACCTGTGGAAGTGAATTTCCAAAGGCTCTGAGGCCTTGGCTCTGGTTCTGCTCCCCCCAGAATGGCCCCTGGGGCTTTTGGCCTGTTTAAGCCCTGGCTGGGCTCTTCACTCAGTTTGGAGCTATGTCTCTGGAGCCAAACTGCCCTGACTTGCTTCTGAGGGTAGAACAAGCAGGAAGTGCTGACACTTGCCAGTTCCGCATGCATGAGGTGTTCCAGACTCCTGGCAGCCTGCCGGTCCAGCTCCAGGCCCAGGTGGCTGCAGGCTGCAGGGTGATGATTCAGGTAAGCTGTGCTGGACAAACAAGCCAGTATTTTTTCAGCCCAGCAGGGTGATGACTGTAATTAGCTTTCCTGTCGTCACTGTACTCCACCTTCTGAGGGTGGGCTTGCTAGGCCTTGGGCCAGGGCCCGAAGAGACTGACAGGAATGTGGTTATCTTGGTCTGTGTCTTGTTGCCCAAGATGCTTCCTGATGCTTCTAGAGCTGGCTTGGAGCCGAGCCAAACAGCACCTGCATTGTCTGATGATGTCATGGAGGCTGCTGGGCTAAAGAGCCCTACTTAGAGCATGGACAATGTGGTGAAGCAGCTCTGGTATGTTTCTTTCTCCAGATCCTAACACCTATTGTTTCAGTGCTACCTTCCCCCAGGAGACCCAAAAGACGAGGCAAACTGAAGAAATTTGGGGCCAGAGAGGCAACTGGGCTGAAGCCAATAGGTGAGTGGCCAGGTGTGCAGCTAAGGATCATCATACCCACATTTAAGTAACACGAAAGAAGTAGCTACTACTTATTGATCACTTAGTCTGTGCCAGACACTGTTCTAAGCATTTCACATACCTCATTTACTTCTCAAAACATCACTATGACATAGCTACTAGCATTACCCTATGGACGGAGAAACTGGCCTGGAGGTGCTGGCTGAGAAGCACACAGCTGATAACCAGTGAATCCAGGATTTGAACACAGGCTACCAGGATTTTAACTCTCACCTGATACTTGTTTCTCCTGCTTTCACCGGGGCTGTCATGCGAGAGGACTTACACAGAATCTCAGGATCTAGGCCTGGCCCAGCCACAAGGTACTGTGTGATCTTGGCTGTCATCCCCACCTCTGGCCTTCAGATTCCTCACTGTGGAAGTAGACAGTGGAGGTGGCGTTAGGCCAAGTAGTCTTTGCAGCTGGGAGTTTCTAGTCCTATGGCTCTACCCTGCATGGGAAGAGCACTGAGGGAAGACTCCCTCTCTCCTCCTCCCCTGCTCAGCCCCATCGGAAGTGTTTGCTCTTGATTTCCAAGGCAGCTTCGTGGGCCTTTGAGCAGGGCAGTGACAGACTTGTGGCCTGGTACCACTGACTAAGGAGCAAAGCTGCTTCCCCACTCCACACCTCAGTTTCCCCATTTGATTCAGAGCAGACAATGACCTCCTTGTGCTCCATGTTACAATGAGTCAGGGCCAATCAGCATTAGTCACAGACTTCGGAATCCTCACAAGGAAAAGGTTGTCTGCTTGGGCCAGGCTGCACTGTGGCCATGATTACACGCAGCTCTGGGCCATGCCCCTGGGAAAAAATCCTCAAAGCCTCACTGGGGGCTCGCCTAACTTTGTGAGTTGGCCCTGGGGCGCCCCAGCCCTGGGTGCTGGTGCTGAGGAGGAGCACGAGGATGCCACCGCAGGAGGGCTGCCCACGCGGCTTATCGTCCCTTGGGTTTCCCCTGGCAGCTGAATTCCCATTCAGTCTGCCTCTTGTCCTTGTTACTTTTGCTTCTAATCATGGATTCAGGGTCCTAACCCTGACCTTAGCCTTTTCCTTCTATGGCTCTTCAACAAACATTCATTGTCTCCCTCTCTCTCTGCCCCCACCATCTCAGTACTCTCAGCCTGTCTCTCTTCCTTCCACGTACAAGCCTCAGTAGAAATGAGGCAGCTTCAGCCTTCAAGGAACTAAGTTTGGTTAGAAGAGAAGACCAGTAAGTAAGTAAGGGCAAAGAAATAATGATGCTGAAAATAAGCCCTTTGAAAAAGGAAGTGCTGTACTGTCAGCTGCTGTTGATCTGTTAGGAATTAGTCTGAAGTGGGGGAGGCCAGGTTTGTCCCATCTCTGCAAATCCAGCTGGGTTAGAAGTCTGATGTGGAGCATGGGGGACATCTAGTGGCTCTGGCAAGTACTACTGCATTACAGCTCCACACTATGGCCACACATCTGGTCCTGACTTTCAAGCAAGCTACAGTGACCTCAGCTATCTGGAATGTGGCATGAAGATTAACGAGGGGAGATTTTCTAGTCACTTAATATCTAATAAGTCACCTTTCACTCAACCTCTAGTGTCTTTGGATATATAGAACAAAGGTTTCACTTCGTAGTCTCACATCCATTTCCTTCCCCTACTACAGAAGGAGCAAATAAGCTCAGGGAAGACCAAGACCCTGGCCTGGCTAGAGCGTCTCAGAGCACAGACATACCCAGACATGCCAACAGAAGGAAAAGGGATGGTGAGTGATGCTGCCTAACCTAGATGGGAAGGATTAAGGGGGTAGAATTCAAGTGGTGGTCCTGTTATGTACATATAAAAAGATTGGCGGCAGAAGTGGCCATTTCTTTTCTATTTTATGTGGTTAAAAAAACATGTAACACCATAAAACTCTTAGAAGAAAACACAGGCAAAAATCTCTTGGACATAAACATGAGCAACTTCTTCATGAACATATCTCCCCAGGCAAGGGAAACAAAAGCAAAAATGAACAAGTGGGACTATATCAAGCTGAAAAGCTTCTGTACAGCAAAGGACACCATCAATAGAACAAAAAGGCATCCTACAGTATGGGAGAATATATTCATAAACGACAGATCCAAT